GGTCTAAATTTGAATTAACATTGATATTGAACTGAAAAACTGTTTGCTTATTATGACATGTAAAATTGATTCCTTAATATACTAATTTCTTAACATTAAATTCATGGACATATAAGTTGATGTATTAATAGCAGCAGATTATTGCAACAGCATTTCTGTAAAGACGAAGGAATGAAAATAGTTCAGTTTTCTATGTTTTTAGATCTTTACTGCTAAAAAACAAAATTTGTGCTAAAAAAAAGTGGTGGGGGAATAGTTGGCAAAATATTTTTTAAATCATAGATAAGTAATATTTTTAGAAAATGAACTAAGAAGGCTTTCTGTGATGGAAAATAACACCTAATCATGCAACATAGTTTCAAAATATGACTAATACACCCAAAATTTAAATAGATCCCTAAACTCTATTTCTGTATTTTTAAAGCACTTGTGCTTAATAACACATTTTCTTTCTGAGAAGCAGACATTACTCTTCGAGTAATTTGCAAAAACGTTTTACGCTAAGGTAAATAAACAAATAAAAATATAAAATATAAAACTACAATTTTAAAATATTAGATTACATTCTATTCCTTTAAAATGAGTTTTCTATTAAAATTTTTAAAAATTATAAAAACATTAAAAACTTTTAAAAATGTAGTACATTACAATTTAAAAAATTATGATTCTGTATCAGATACGTAATTTATAGCATTAGAAAAAATCTTTTATTAATTGCATGAAATCTGTAAGCTCTCATAAAGACGACCAATTAGATATATTAGAAATTAAATGCGTTTTAAATTAAATTAATTAGATATATCATTAGAGAATAAAATGAAGGTTTAAATTATTAAGAATTTTAAATCGCTGACTTAATCAATCAGTAACAGACTGTTAGAATGAACGATAAATTTAAGGTATTTTGCTTACACGGCAACGCTTTGAGAATCATTTATGTACGAGGGCGCGTATAAGATATATTGAAGTCTTAACGTTTTGCGTAGCGATAACACTTAGTAACGATTGCTTCTGTATTCAGTCTATGTTTTTCGCCCATCAGTTTCTGACGCATGATTGTGTCTCGGTATTTTATTCTTTCAGGACAGGATTTTACATTTAAAATTAAACAAAAATTGAACCTTAGGCTGAAGTGCATTCTAAAAGAGATCAGTTTCTTCTTCAAGAGGTAAAATCTGTTTGCTCCTGAAAAAAAAGAACATACTTCTGATCGTTCTCGAAACGAATAGAGTTGTTTTGCTTTTTTGAAAATCTGTGCCAATTCAAGCTTGAGTTTTTGCCTAACTTGTATTGCACGTAAACGTGTTTCTCTTTTAGTTTGTGGATTTTGTGTGCTAAATAAAAATAATACACTTCCTTCGATACGCAAAAAAAGCGTGATAAAAACGTAAACCACAAACTAAAACAGTTCTTCAAACTAAATTTAAATTTCGCAATTAAAAAATGAATGAAGATAATAATTGTAAGCTGTTAATTTTTATTAGAACACAAAAGGGTTTATGTAAATGATTTTGTGTGTGAATCAAGCGAAAGCAAGCAAAATCCAACTTCGCACTGTTGGCACGAAATTGTCATAAATGTTACATTCTTTTCATCTCGCTATATTATAGGAAAATCATCTTTTTCTACTTCCTGTTACTGAAACGTGATCAAGAAAATGTGCTTCCTTAAAAGCAAGAGCTGTTACTCCTCATCAATCCATATAAGTGAATCAGCTGAATAACCAAATACTTTATCTTCACTTGCATCACTCTCACTATCAATCGAACTACCACTAAAATTTCCTTCTTCATCACTTCATAGAATTACGGCTGCCACGAAGTTTTCCAGCAGATGAAGCTGCAGCCGGTTGTTGACGCAATCACCCCACTTTTCTAACTGTATAAATTAAAAACCACTAAAGAGTTAAAACTTTTGAATTTTATGCATACTGCTGAAGTGTACGTAAGAACGGGAGTTCGATCTACTTAAACGATCAACAGGTGGATAATGACAATCATGCCACTACTCATTTTACCCCGCACCAGTCAGATTACAAATTTTATATGCAAGAAGCATATTATGTGCAGCAATAGCACACTGTAGCTTATTGCATGGTCAGTGTCTCTATTTTAAAACTGTATATCAGTAAAGTACACCTGCTGTCCAGAACTCACAGAATTATGTGTCGCTATTTTTCCTATAGCATTAATTTTAGATATTTTTCAAATATAGTCTAATGCGTTACAAAAACTATCAAATCCAACATCTCTTCATCTCTTCTTAGACATAAAATGCTATCGAGAAGGGCTTTTATGTATGTAATTGAATTGTATTATTTGGACCATAGCAAAGCGCGGGAGGGCTGTCTGCTTAACGGAAGGGATGCCTTCTCTGAAGATTTATTAAAGAAAACTGGCTCGTAGATACATTACACGTGGGGAAGGCCACAAAAACTTTCATGAAGTCAACGTATTTTCCGGGATCTGAACACTGATCAAAGCAGGAGAAATCCTGGATCGAAGTACCAATGTTCAGCGATTTACGGCCCGGCCGCTAATACGCTTTGTATATAAGTGCGGTATATTTCTTTAATTGGGGCTATTTTTATTGTAAATTCTGCTGTTTCTGTATTTCATTTGGTCATTATGGAGAAACAAAATAAAAGAAAACATGCCTGCTTTTTAAATATCAGCAAAAATATACTTACTATAAATCCGATTGCAGAAGTGCACGTTCAAAATATTTGATATATCATTAATTTAAATCTATATTTATTACCAAAGCAATTTTTTTTGCTTAGATGTATCTTCTACATTTGAACTAATATTATTGCTTTCATAAATGGGAAAATACAATCTTATATTTTAATTATAATTTAATACTATTTTAATTAAGAATTGCGGATAAGGGTAAAAAAGATCACTTCTTTCCGAAAAAAGAATCGTAATTTGATATTTAAATATCCTAAAAATCAATATTTATTTTTTCATTACTTATTCTATTTCTTCGTTATTTCTTCATAAGAGTACTTTGACCAATTACATGTAGGTAAATAATAAAAATATAAAATCATATTTACTTTATTCTTTTAATATTGCTTTAAAATTGTAAATATCACTCAAAAAATGCTATAAAAATAAATTATCTTACATTGTCATATCCTTATGTCACGTTGCCAAAGATAGACGTTTCGGTCAATTTAGTACTCACGAATGTGACTTTATATTATTGACTGATTAAATTCAATATTATTTCCATTCATTAAATTTTGTCGTTAAATATAACTCAGTGAGAAAATTCTGAATTTTTTTAAATGCATACACTCTAAATATCATATCTCATGAGAAACATCGGAATGAATAGGATCCTTTTCACAGGAATAAGGATGCAGGTCTATTATTTCTGGAAAGGAATTGTTATATTAATTATTGGAATTTTCGGAAGAATTGTTATGTTAATTATTCTAGCCATCCTATATCAGATTACAAGAAGAATTTGCAATCTGAGTATAACGTGAATTCTAAATCATGATCTCAAAATTTTGCAGTAGCTACTCTTTTCACACAAAAATAAAGAAGTTCTTAATAAATAATCTCGGAAGGGTTGCAGGTATGGATATCACCCCTTATACAGGGGTATCACTGCAGACCAGTTGAATTATACGAGATGGGGGGGTGAAGAGTATGAATGTATAAGAGTACACATATATGCCTTTATGCAGTCATACACGGCCATTTTTCACAGTAGTTTTGAAATTCAATGCCTCAACTTTCATATTTTTATTACACATGAGTTTTTTCTTACTTCTTAAAAGAAGTAAAAATCATTATTAAAATAATGATGAAATAATGCACGACAGTTTTATTTACAATGTATCTGTGTGTCGTAAGAACATAAAATAAAGTAAAATAAAAATTTATCTATCTTTAACTTTTATTTGCAATTCTTTATTTTATTTGCTTGCTTTTCGCTCTTTTTTTTTACCCGAACACTGCTTCCTATTTAATACTTTCGTATTTTAGATAGCAGTTATGCAAAACATCGTATATCATTAAACGATTGTATATTTTAAGTTAAATATAATTTAAAATGAGCTTGAAATACCTTACATCTGGAAGCAGATTTATGCGATAATGCAAGTCGCAATTGCGATGGGCTCCGCTTTTCCAGGGAGTCCAAATATTTTTTATTATTTTTACAAATCAGACGCAACAAACTAAGCAAAATATGATTAGAATAATATATAGTTATCTGTTATTAACCCTGTGTTCAGCACCTTATTAGCGCAAATTTATGATCCCTTCAGGTATCTTGAACACTAATATCTAAATTATTATGCATCTAAAAGTACAGTATTATAACTGCTGTTATAATGACGGCGAATTCGATTCTACAAATTCTCAGTTTATAATTTTTAAGCAATATTTTTTCAATAGCACTTTGGTCTTTTATTTGATTTCAATGCTCTACAATAATATCCGTATTTACAAACGTAAAACGTTTCACGCTTTTTAATCGGATGTTTATGGGTAAATGTCAGTTTAGTACTTTATAGAGCAAGTAGCAAACTTTATAGAGTAGTTTACGTTTTTTACGGCATATTTGGAATTACATATTTAACACAATGACGGGATTTTAGATGCTCCAAAATGCGAAATATTGTTACGTTTAGTAGAGAAAAATATGAAAGCAAATTATTATAATTTCACTTCCAGGAAATCTAGCCAATAACACGCGCAAACGCAAATCCTAGATGAATATTCTCTATAGCACCAGCAATTCAGCAGTTGCAATTTCAAGACGACGTTATTTGATTTTTACGATTAAAAAAAAAAAAAAAAATCCAGGATCTATTTTTCTCTTCTTATGTAAACGTTCTTTTCAGTTCAGTTTCATACCAACCCTGAAACTTAACTAGAAATTGGCGATCATTTGGCGAAAAGCGCTAACCGGCAACCCCGTAGAGAAGCGGGACTTCTGGAACTCCAATTGCAACGTGCGTAAAAAGCCAGCTTGAGGAACAGTGCGAACAGATTAAAAGAGCGCGCTCAATCTTTCAGTAGAGCGAATCCCTTGGAAAGATGGATTACTTACACGGGAAGAGAGAGATCGCAACGATGATTAATTAGCTCCCATGCCGGCTTCGTGTATTCATTATTAAAACTCAACTCGTCCTTTGTATGTAATAAAAAGAGCATTTGTATAAAATGATATTTTGACAAGAGAAAATAATTTCATATCAGACCTGCCTTTTGGAAACACTAGCCCAAGCTATGTTTTCTTCATCACTGCATCGTCCGAACTTTTTTTTACACTTGTCAGTGATCGTGTTTGTGATCAGCTTAAACAGTGTTCAGACGATTAAGTGGCTGTAAGTACACACTCTTTTATCGACTTTTTTTGTTACTTTTCTTTCTTCCTATGTTACGGAAATTATTTTAGCTACTAATCATCACGGGGCTCATGGCATGCTGATAAATTCTCACTTGTTAGTTTCCGTTAAACATTATATGTGAATATTGAAGCAGTCAGAAACAGTAAAAATGAGTATTAAAGGATTTTCGATTCGATTTCTTTCGAAGCTTTGTTGTTTTCATAGTAGTTGAAATGTTTACTTCGCATGTAGGGTAAGCTTTAATGAATAACTTCCCATGTAGGGTAAGCTTAAATGAATAAAATATCTTTGCTTATGATGATGCAACATTTCTGGGAAGCTTCTGGTTTTGATTGATTGGTATTTAGGAATAGGAAGGTGAAGTTAGTCACAGTCATTATAGATTTACGAAACTGATATAAGCGTGTATGTTTTATATTAAATGGATCACGGAAAAAATTAAAAAAATATGTTTATGTGACAACAGATCTCCGATTAAAATGGTATGAAGGATTTAGTTTTCGAAAGCGAAGACATTTTTGTCATGAAAGCTATTGGGTGAAAGAATACATCTTGGTGGAAGATGATTTAAACTGTCTAATTTTTAACGAAATTTTTATTCAGTTATTCTCATTAAAGCAGGAAAAAAGGATAGATCGTTGAAAATTAATCTCAATAATAATGTTAATTATTGGCCATTACATACTTTAATCTCGATATAACCAATGTAAATTTTTATTAGAAAAGAACATTAGAGAAAACGCAGGATTAAAATTTTCCCTGCTGTAATTATATTAAGCATAAGCAGGATCACAAATAAAGCTTTCGAGCGTCAAATGCACTTAAAATATGTAACAGCTTCTCATTTTAACTCTCTTGTTTCATAAACCAAACTGCAGAATCTTATAATTAGATATTCATTTTAGATAATTTGAGATATAACAACTTACACTTAAATTAATTTTGTAGGTTACTTTTAATTACACAGATGCAAATATGAAACAGCATCATTATTCGAATTTCAGTTCCTTGAAAGTTAACATTCAAGTATTAATTCATTATTTTTAATTAAGCAACAGCTGAATATAAAGTTCTACTTCAATTTTGTTACGTTTTGATATTAAAATTCGCAACCTTTAATCTTTCTATACTTCATTAAATTTTTAATAATGCATCGAGTTTACGAAAAATTTTTAATTTGTCTTGCGTTTGCAAAGGTCAGCGAAACAGACAGGAAAATATAACCTGGATCTGAGTTAACAATCAATACCATTGATTAAATTTTCTGCATATACTATACATATATATATAGTGTATGTATGCAATAAACTTGGTATATTTTTACTCATTCTGTAAAGAAAATAAAGTGTGTAACAATGTGTATGCAATGCTAAATTAAACTATACAATATTGATTTTATACAAGTGTGTATAAAGTGTTTGTGTCATCTAACATTAAAACGTAGTTGGGTTAGAACTGCAATTTGCCCTCAGCCTTGATGTTATGGAAAGTATCATTACTGAAATAAACAATTACTTACAGTGTTAATATCTGTACAGTAAGCACGTACTACATGCAACATGTTAAACTAATAGAATACGGAACAGAGAACCCTAATTTTATATATTGCTTGTATACTGTTAACAAACTCTAAGTTACTGCAAACGAAAATTCATTCTAATTGAAGTAGTTTTTCTAAGCGTTAGAACAAAAAGGCTTGCAATCATTAAGCTAAAACTTTGGAGTGACTTCATGACATTGTAAAAAAAAAAAAAAAAAAAAAAAAAAAAAAGAAGAAAAGGAAGGGAAATTGTTTTTATTAAAACTTTTCAAATAAAAAATACGTATTGTTAATTTTTATTTTGTAAGACGAATGTGAAACGTAGATTTATTGTGGCATAAAAATTGTTTAATTCATAATAAACATATACCTGAATGAACATTCAAGTAGAAAAAACAATAAAGGTCGCAGAAAGCATAGTACGATGTGGAAAATTTATGATGTTAAGTTTCAGTACCATTCATATTGATTTCTTTCGAGGTTAAATTTACTATTCTATTATTTGACTGCTGGACAGTTGATGTTACGGATATCATCTAAAAACCAGTCTATTCATGTATGTTAGAAATTATTTTTTTATAGTCCTCTGCGTAAACAATTATAATTTCTTCTAGTAGAAGACTGTAAATGACAAAAAGCGACAAAAATGACCGACTTCTGTGTACACTTAGACCAGTTTCAGATGTGTGTTGGGCTTGCGGCCTCATATTATTTTAATTTGCTTGGCAATATAATACTTTATTAGTACATCCTGGAGCATTAAATACGAATTGTTTCAATAATAGCGGTATATATTTCAAATCAACTTTGTTGACAGCATTACAAGCAGCATAAAGCATTCATTTCAAACAAAATTTAGGAATGCGGTGAAATCTTCGGAAAAGTTTTAAAAAAATTTACCAAATTGATTGAATGCAAAAGCTGTAAATAACAGCACCGAACCATAGTAACGTTTTCACGTATAAGTGATTTTAAATGCATTTATCTTCATAAATTATTTTGAGCCTTAAATCTAAAGCTTAAAATGTAATATAAATGTTAATGGGGAATCTTTAGATGCTCACCAGAGTCTTATTTAAGTGATAAAGTTGATATCAGGTGCAGTATTTTCTGCCAGTCTTAAAGTAGGACCGAAAATGATCATGGTTCAAATTAATCACAGTTAACAAAATTAAAGAACTGTCAGTTTGCCATTTCTGTTGCATAAAATACTGTGGTATAAACCTTTTGTTTCTCAAATTCGCATAACAGAAAGTAGTGGAATCTAATCAAATTGCACACAGTGTTTTGGAAAATTTGTTGTTAGAGCAAATAATACATTAGAGCAAATAATGTAGAATGCATAGCTTTTACTGTTACATATGTTAAATGCATAAAAGTATAAAATTATATGTTTCAAGATCACGAGCGTACTTTGCCATAATTGATCAAATTGCTACAAAGTGTATTATGTATTCGACATAATCATTATTGTTATTTACAGCTTTTACATTCAATCAATTTGGTAATTTTTTTAATTTTCCGAAGATTTCTCCGCATTCCTAAGTTTTGTTTGCAATTAATAGCCGATTTGGTATCTATCTTTTATCGGCTATTTGTAATGGAATGCATTTTGTTAGACTATATCTTGTAATCATACCTAATTTTTACGATATTTTCTAAGCAATGATAAATATCAGGTGCCTTCATACTTGTATTAATGATCGTCAGAAAGAAATTAATCTACGTGATTTAAGGTATGTGCATTATTAGTTCTATTGCAAAAGGCATGGTGACCTTGATTATTTTCAAACACAAATTGTATTGTATATCGGTACAGTAAGTATTGTTTATCAGCATATGCAAAATATTGTATAGCGGTATATTTGTTAGTTCTTACCCGACAGGAATTATTAAAAGGCTTTATAAAGATAAGAAAACTTTTATCAGTTTTCTAGAATAATATGTGAACAAATGCGATTTCAATGCCTTTCTGTTCTCCTTCGGATATCTTTTTAGTTCTGTAGTTTTAGTAAAACCTTGCTTAAAAATACATATTTAAAGTTGTATTCCAAGCTTCAAAAAACCTCCATGACTTCTTTTATTTAGTTTAAAATGAATTTTTTATTATTTCATTTGTTTTTTATATCATCGACTTGATTTGTCTGAATATAATTATGCAGGACTTAATTTTTCTTGCATACTTCTGCACTTAAAACTCTTTAATTTTTTACCATTTGAACACTTTATTGCTGTTAGATAGGATTACAGCTTCGTTTCCTTCTAGCCGTATTATGTGTTATAATATTTTCATTGTTACAGTCAGATGATGAATACTGACAAATATGTAAAAGATTTCTTGAAATAGTTTTCTTTATTTGCCAACAGTAAAGATTTTCTTTTGCAATAAATCGCTTTCGCGAACCTTTATGTAATTCGACATTTCTAGGGCAAAGTACTTAAAAATAAGTTCATTTTGGCACGCAGAAGCCATCAGTATTTCCATTGCCTGATCACCAAACCTGTTGCCAAGAGCTTAGCACCGGGGGCTGAGTATATCTCTTTTACAAGAAAAGAAGACCAATACCCTCAACTATTCTTTTACTCGCGAGTTTAAACCTAGTGTATTAGTAACGGTGTTATAACCGCCACCCGACAGTTTAAAATGTATTAAAATAATTTTAACTATGAGATTTCATTTTTAAACTCAACATACAGGTGTGATAACCATGAAACAAAGTTCAAATGTAACTTGCCAAAAAATAATAGTATATATAATATGCCAAAAATATAGTCCTTTTTTTATTTTATGTTGCCGTGTTAAGATGATCTGATGTGGGAATAATGATGCGACAGATGCGTTAATCAAATAGACTGAACTTCTGAAAGCCCGCAGGAAATCTGAAATCGTGAACGTGGGTTTACTGAAACTAGCATTGCTATTTTTGTATATAGCCTTCACTATGCCCTTATTAGATTATTTATTCGAACATTCATTGCTTCAAAAAATAAGTTTTTGGTTTCATTCCCAGCAACCCAAATGCATGATGAAATGTTTAATCATTTATTTCAAGCACGAGCCATCTTGTGTGGTTTCCTTTCCCAGAAGAGTCCTCTCACTGATTGATGAGTTTGACTCATGTGATAAATTCGGAACCTGTAAAACATTTTGAAATTCCACTTTGGGCAATGTGCAAATCCAGCTTTTTGATGTTTTTCCATGAGTTTTAAGACCATCTATAAACATCTGTTTAAGCACGGACATAAATACAGTAATTACTTTCACATTTTTACAGATGGTTCAAAAGCAGCCAGTTATGTCAGAACATCTTTTGTGATTGCAAACCATACGGAAGGAAGACGCCTGCATGCTCAGTGCTGACTTTGGCATTGACTGCTGTGTATTTTTGCCCTTTCTTACATAACATAATGCTATGTAGGAAAATGCTTATAGTGC